AACATTATTAAAAATACGTAGGACATTGATGCTATCAATATCTGACGCGCTCGAGTATGTCCATGCAACAGTATATTTTTACATATTTAAAAATCTATAGCCGCTTTCCTCATCGATGAAAAGGTATATATTATATAACATTTTTTTCTTCTTATCATCTAAGCTTTGCAACCTAATATGTCTCAATGACACTCGAGTTAATCCCCATTTTGCATCGTGGGCTCCCCTGCTATTACTTATATTGTGTAGAAATCCTGTGAATATCTAATTCGACCTCATTACGAATTTTTGAAATACAAACGGAATAGAGAAAATAGTTTTTCGTATAATTCAGCGTTCATAGCTGTTTCAAAAGGGCTTTTTCTTGCAGTCTTTGTCTGAAAGTTACTTCTTTGTATGATCTACACATCTTTGTAAAGATTTAATTTTATGAAATTGATTGCTTCCTTTTTTTTATCAAGATGGAGAAGTGGAAGGCTAAAAACTTTTTTCCCAAGGATTCAACTATAACAAATACTGTCATATTTTAGTACCCCATTGGATAAAAAGAATTGAAAAGGAGATGAAGGTATGAAAAACTCTAAAAAATAATGCTCTACAGTACCTACGACTTGAGAGTACGATATTGTGTTTGCGTTGATATTAATTTTCTGTCTTACCTGGTAAGAAGAAAATATTCAGTAAGTTCCATATTCCCCTCCAAACATTAACAGTTCCAAAGAAGGCGAATAAAATGAAGGTGTCAGCAACAAACAGTCTTGAAAAACCATTCAGTCTTTCGCATGTATATCGCATAGCAGGTTGTAGAAGAAAAGCGAAGACCACACAAATGTATCCCAAAATCTGAAAAAGGTAACATTATTCAGAATGGAATTTAGGCCCGTTTCACAAAGGACTGAAGATCAGTACTACTGACAATCTATTCTAGTTCTAGTTATTGTTCCAGATATGTCGTACAGACATTCGCGTATGATCGGTCATTTGCTATAAATGTGCCAGTAGATAAAACGGACGTTTTCACAAAGTGCAAGGTTGTCTTTGAACAAGTTTTCGCTGTTCATTTTGTTGGATTGTGCACCAGATATGAAAATATCTGGAAGAAAGGCTTGCTAAGAACAATTTCATTACGATCCTGAACTTCTAATAACAGCAATTCAACAAAAAACGTGTATTAGGGACACATATTCGAAAGAGTTACTACAAACATCGCTATGCAAAATAATTAGGCTTGTAAAGATATGGCTGAATTCTGATGACACTGAACAACATGAATCATTGAAGAAATTGAAGATGAAGGTGATTGACAATGTTTCATGATGAATTTCACTAGTTCGGACTTCCATTGTCTACTATATGAAATGATTTAAAATCCCTGAAACTGAACTAGTTGTTTCAGGGATTTCAAATCATTTTATATAGTAGACAATGGAAGTCCAAACTAGTGAAAAATTGAAGATATTTCACTTTTAACTAGAAAACTTCAGATCTATTCTAGTTTATGATACAGTATTAGTGTGGATTGTCTCGTAAAATAGAAAAAGGGTAACTTAAGCAACTTCATTTAACCTTTCCATACAAATACATCGTTTCCTTTTTCTTTTCGTTCTACCAATCTTTTCATGCACGAAGTTACTAAAACGTAATGTCATATATCACTCCCATACCTGTGTTGATAATTGACCGTTAGCGAAAATGTGAAAGTACCTATCTGTATTTGTATCTGTAGAGTAGGGAGGGTGAGTGTAAGCCCACAGCACTTAGGCCATATGTTACCCTAGGAGTTGTCCTCCTAGGTCAGTGGTCGCCAACCTCTTCAATGTGTTGAGCTACTTTGTTAATATTGGAATAAACAGCGAGCTACCCACACGGAAGCCACGTAACGCAACGTAAATGAAATAATCCACAGTTAATTTATCATTATATGTATTTATTTTACTATTTAACTGGTAATACATAATACATAGGTACTAATAATAAACTAATAACAAAATAACTAATATTACTAGTACGTACTTGTTCATAGCTACATTCCTACCTATCAAACGAAGGTGTTTGAAAAATAAACACAAACTTTTATCC